ATTTGTGTCAAAACAGCTGTTTCACTGCACAGGGCGTCCCCTGCCTGGCTCCTCACTGCACAGGGCGTCCCCTGCCTGGCTCCTCACTGCACAGGGCGTCCCCTGCCTGGCTCCTAGTCACAGAGCTTACTGGATGTATCTGCTCGACGGCCTGATGTGTCTCAGCAGCTTAGGATTCCACAAGGCCCCTGGTTCAAATCCCATGGTCGGCAGATTGATACCACTGCTGGGCCCTTGAGCAAGGCCCTTAACTGCTGCCGAACCCTGTAATGTGACTCCAATTCTTGCTCCCACTTGTATGTGTGTCTCATGGAGAGCAAGACGGAATTTCCCCATGTGGATGAATGAAGTGTCACTAAAAGTACATTTTGCATCTGTACTGAACAGTTTGACACTTGTCGTCCAGCATCAGCTTCTGCTGTGTGTAGATTCAGCATATGAATGATATTCCAGGACATTCCTGAGTGGTTGGCTTGTGTGTTGTGTGACTCTCATAAACTCACCTCACTGCTGTTACCATGGCAATGAGCTGTGGGGTGCCCCCCCACCCCCATCCTCTCCACATGCAGAAGCTCATTGTGTCTTTCCTCGCAACCCAGTAAGACTTGGAGCCCATTTTTTGCCCCAGTGATGGGAGAATGAAATGGGCCTCTATGTAACTTACTTCAATGGCCGTTTGAAGATATCTGGTTAAAAATGTGGCCTTATAATGGATGTATGAAAGTATTCATCCTCTGATGTTGCCTTAACCAGCATATGACCATGTTTTGGGGCCCAAAATTATTTCCAGCGCATCTAACATTGACACACTGCCATTCTTTCTTTTAGTTCATATCATGCGACAATATTGCATTTTATATGCATTTACTTAACGAAGCAGACATTTCTGTCCAAGTGAAGCAAAAGAACCTTACAAGCAAGAGTGCAGCTCTGCTGAGTTCCCACTAAAAAGTGTAAAAAGTACTGCAGAGTGCAGACAATAATGCATGCAGTCCAAAAAGCAGAAAAATAAATGTAATGCTTTACATTTAAATAAGTTTAACGTCAACTCAGTGACCTGCGGCTGTGTTTCAGACCGGGGCTGTTAAACTATCCATATCCTCTAACGCTGATTATACAGAATCTTGCATCCCTACCAGGATGGATGGGATGCCAGTGAATGGGGGCCATGCACAAGGTGAGGGGACGCCTCGTCCCCGGAGCCGGCAAAGCCGCGGCCGTCGATGTAATTAAAACCTCACAGCGGGGGGCGAGAGCGAGACGCCGGCAGCCACCCGGCAGTGGGAGCTGCTCAGCCTGCAATCAAAACTGACTTTTGTGGAGTTTCAAGGATGGTACCTACAGTTTTAACCTTAGGCCTTTAAAGCGCTGTTGTCTGAGGTTTGCAGATCTCATTCATAGCTCCGCTCATGTTCAGTCTATAGAAATGTGTCAGATCTAGTCTCGGATTTTTAAGGCACAGAAATACTCAAGTTTGCCTTAAGCCCAAAAAAAGAGTAAACTATTTGCTGCTCAGCTATTTAATATGATACAACATAAAGCACAAAAAAGCGAGTAGTTTAAATAAATTATGCTTCTTGACTGCAGTTTATGGTCTGCACAATCTGTGGGGAGACAGGCAGTCTAACTTCTGTTCTAATTTGGGAGACATCTGTATCTGCATGTCAAAACCTCGTGATGCAAACAAACTTCACGCACTGCACACCGCTGGAGCCTCCACGAAAGGCACCTCCCATGCGCCGCAGTGCAGCGCCGCAGTGCAGCGCCCGATGTGTCACGGCACGCGGCCAAAGGCCTGTCGCTCACAGCAGACCTCTGCGAACCGGACCTGGGGAGCAGAGGTCCTCAGAGTCATCGCCAGTCTGCAATTATCTCAGTGTCCATCTGAAGATTGCAGTCCTGATATTTATTATTGTCAGGGTCAGCTGCTGTTGTCCCAGTCTTTCGTGTCCCTTCCCCGTTTGGCCAGCAGGTGCCGCTGGCCACCCTGTCCCTCCTGTCACCCTTTGTGTTTTCCTCTGCTCCCTGTCAGCTGCATGACTCAAAGAGTTAAGGATGCGGCTGCCTGTGAACCCCTATGTCATGTGTTCGAGTCCTGCCTCGTGTTTTTGTAGATTTTGTTCCCTTGTGTTTCAGTTGTATCAGTTTTCTACTCCCTGTGTTTTGATTTGTATTCGGTTTTGTTTTTTTTTCCTTTG